TGAAGCCCGAAGTCAGCTAAATGGCTAATGATATCTATCAAAACGCCTGCCATTTGAAATAAATAAATAAATAATTAGAAGATGCAGAATATACAATACAGCACCGCAACAGTGTGCCTTGAACGTGACGATCTAAGGAGCCCTTCCGTGTAGGAGTCAGGACTATAATACTCATATCCAATGAGCATAATCAATTGTAGTGATTACAATTCGAAAATGGAAACAAAAAATGCTCTTGAAAAAAGACGATTGATGAACACAGTGGTAGAAATAGATAAATAAACACCAACAGTTCCTTTTAGTAGAGATCACTTAGGACGACACCTCGTAAAATCAATAAGAGAACCCTGAATCGTCAGCTTATCAAAAAAGCCCAAGAAGTCATCGAGCTGCCACAAACTTCAACTGAACCATCGGCATGTCGGCTAGAAATATACTGGTGAAGAAAACCCCGAAGTCGGTAGCCTTCATAACTAGAAAATTTCTCATCGACAACGATGGGGCGACAAGCATAGAATGAACTATTCCAGTTATTAAGATTATGAAAATCTGGAGAGGAAATTTAATAAAGATTGAAAATGAGATTTTTTGTGACTGTGGTGTTTCTCCCCTCTATGAAGCCCGAAGTCAACAAAAGGACCAATGTTAACTATGATAAAGCCTGCCATTTGATATAAATAAATATAGATTGAATAACGAATAGAAACTGAGAATTTCGACGAGAAGTTAGTTAATGTGAAGGAATAGCCTTTGATCGAGTGTGTTGCATGTGAACATTTCTTCTTCATTGCAAGTGATATGATAATGCACAGCCAATTAGCATAAACACGTTGTATAAACAACAAGCTCACTTTATGACAAATATGAATTATTTAATAACAAGCGTTGCATAAGATGCATACGAGCTGAAATATAAAAAATTGCATTGTTTAAAGGAAATTAGTGAATAAACATAGATGCAAGCTTAATGAAATGTCAAGAGCTCGGAAAAAATAACTAAAATAGATGAATTCTGCGAGGAAGACAAAATGTCAATTGCCGATTATTCCAAAGAAAATTCGGTCTGTCGTTAAAAAAAATAATCTTTTCGCAGAAAAATGGTTACAGTAGATGAGAAGTCAACCCCCCCCCCCTTAGGTAAATTTGGAAAAACCGCAAAAGCGGTTCAAGGTGGAAAAGTGTGAACATAGCAACCAATACTCATTGGATCTAGCAAGTATTCGAGCAAAAAATAAGCGCATCCAATTGCTAAATCCATTCGGGAAAAATTATTAATGGCCAACAACACTATGAACAATAAAACACCCCTTTTATGGTGCCTTAACAACTGTGGAATAAAACCGGTAAATATCAAAACAACAATTAATACCTGTTAAGAGGAAACAAGACCCACACACAATTGTCATCAATACCGGTATTCTCGTACCAAAACTACAATAAAACAACCGAAAGGTCTACTTTAGCATAAGCGAACTAATAAAAAAGCAGATTAGTAGAGCTTATCTGAGCGATGTCGAGAGCGTAACTACTACTACTACTAGAGAAGATTGATGGATGAAGTCGGCTCACATACCCCAATTCGAAATAGACTTCGCAATGAAATAAGCTAAAGTAAAAGGAATTGAGTGCTTGAGCGTGAGAAATTATGAGTGTAGCAAATACCAAATGTAAATGTTAAACAAGACAAAATGAATGCAAGTAACTAGATTTTATTTCGCTTCGGAAATCATTGTAGTTTAACAAATTGTTACGGGCTTAACATTGCTTTAAGCTACTTTAAGGTTTGGTTGAATTTGGAAGACTGAATAATTGCACATATCCATAGGCAATATCAAATTCCAACTTAAATTAATTGCGCAACAGAGAGAAAAGCATACAATTTAGAGACGGATGCCAAGTAGTTGACAATTCAAGTGCAGGATTAATAAGCAGCACAATGTGATTTTACATTAAAAAAAAACATAAATCGAAATAGACTTAAAATAAGTGAAATCAAACAAAATAAAACGAACCATGGTTAGTGCGAGGTCAATCAACACGAAGGTTCCAGAACGTCCAACTCCAGCACTACAGTGAACAATGGATGGATGGTCAGGATCATCCAATGCACCTGTCCGTCGAACATCCCACAGAAGATTCAACATACTGCTCGGATAGTCAGGAACTCCAAAATCTGGCCAACGTGTGTAGTGGAAATGCTGAATTCTATGAGTCTCATTAGTCTACAAGGAGAAAAATAGATATTTAGACCAACCATGGAGTAGGAATTCTTTAAAATTAAGACAAAATTACATCAGAATTAACCACTTCCAACGTTCGAATGGCATAGAATCCCTTGTTCTCTTCAGAAATACAAGTTACTGAAAATGTTGATTCGGGAAAAGTGAGGGTTTGTTGGGGGTTTAGAGGGAAGTAATTAAAGCATTTGATTGTGCCTTTCTCAGTAAAACGATTAAGCATAATTATTACAGAAGATTTTTGTTCTAAAACCATCTGCCAAAAGTGAACGACAGTTTGAGGAAGGGGACCCTGTGTGAGAATATAACGGCGGGAGGGAACTTCATTAACTTTGACATAATTTGCGTTAATATAATCTCCTGTTGATTCACTCTGTAAAAGAACGCGGGTTTCATCATCTAAAAGCGTCAAAACGAAGACCCCAAACTTACAAGGAATAATATCTCTGTATCTATTTTTCCACCTGTTTTCGGATTCAGTTGCAGCTGACAAGCTTAGCTTTGAGCTTTCAATAGTGGCCGAGTTTTGTATTTGCTAAGAGTGTAATTCAAGGCAAAATAGTATACCTCATAGAATAGACTCCATGAACGCGATTCATCTAAATGATTGAATTCACGTTCTAGAGAACTTAGCTCATTAACATTGACATCCACCTGTGTGCAGTGGCCTGAAGGCATCAGAACAACACCACAAACAGACATGCTTTGAATGCGTTAAAGGTTATGGGTTGACTTAAAATACTAAATGTCCACATTTACAAAACGTAAGATACATTTCACATTAGTTTATTCAGTTTTGTTTACTAAATATAACTGAAATTATGCTGTTGCACAAGATTATTTTATGAGTATTGGCATTCAAACAATATCAAAAAGGCTAAGTATTAGTTCAGAGCAGATAAAGATTCATTTTATATAAAGCTCCCTCAATTCATTATGTCAAATTGTTATTATTAAACGAATAAGTTGTATATCAGTCGAATGATGTAAGTCAGTATTAATTTTGAGCATACATAGAGTAGAATATTTTTAAATGCTTAAAATACATTTTAAACTGAAATATTCCAAGATATAAATGCCCAAGTTGAAAGGTTCACAACAATGTGGCTACTCTTTTCATATTACATATGAAATCGCCCTCCCAAATTAGATTGGATCATTGGGTTTGTGATTTCAATGTTCTCCTTATAAGTTCATTTACTTGTAATTCTCCAGAATGAAAAGACAAAATATCTGTTTAAGAAGGACCATTTCGATGAATTCGGTCATATTTATACATTTAACCACTTATCTGATTCCTTCCTTTCCCTAACCACACTTTCTAGCTATCGAATGGAAAGAGTCAAAATTTACCTTCTCTCTACTCCGACCATTAATACAAAAACTTCAATGTCGTTTAACAATAATTTCTGTTGTTTTAGATTAATCGACTTTTTTGCTTTAAATTTTCAACAAATTTACAAGAATTGATTTATTGCCGATGTAAATCAGCTTCGATCCAACTATCAAAGCCAAGTTATGAAAAAAATCAATCAAGGTTTAGCACCTTATTTAAAAACTCTCCATCAATGAACTTTAAAAACAGATGTCTTTCTGCAATCGAGGAATTGCACAAGAACGTTTACATCGGCCTTATCAGTGCATTTTTTTAATTGCATTGTTCATATTACTTGAGGCATCTCGTTAACTACAACTAAGATTCAACAGAAATTCTTACCTCCTTGCCTATTGTCATGTATATCAGGAATCTCTTGATTTTTACAAAACAATTGTTAAAATAAAAATATTTTATTGGATTAGGAAAACTCAATATAGATTACCGCAATCTTTAGAAAATTGGGATAATCTTTAATTTTTTTGATAATAATAAGCTAAAAAATAGGAAAATTGCCCTAATTGTTGGCAAGAAAAAAGTCTGATAATATTTCAATATAAAATCGCGAAGGTTTAAAATAAAGTGAAAAGTTGAACCAAAAGTCATATTTAAACTTTGTTAGAATATATCAACTCAGCTTCATTTTACCGGTTTTCTACACCGCTCCAATCGAGTAAAATGGATGAAGCTGGGGTTTACGCTTCGCAAGGTTATGACCGCGGGGAAGCTAATAACAGCATGGATCAAAAGGACAATCAAACACAGTACACCATTCAGAGTGTCCTTCATTTCATTCAGTCGGAATGGACACGCTTAGAGCTTCAACGTTCTCAATGGGAAATGGAAAGAGCGGAACTTCAGGCAAGGATAGCTTTCCTTCAGGGTGAACGCCGTGGGCAAGAAAACATTAAACAAGATCTTGTTCGCCGTATCAAAATGCTTGAACATGCTCTTAAGCAAGAGCGTGTTCGGTATCACCAGTTAAAATTATCTGTCGACTCCTATTCAGACAAACCTGTTGATGAGAACTCAAAGCCAGGACCGGATAGTTCTATGGAGACCAAAACGGATTTAAAAAATATTATGGATCCAGGTCGGCAGTTAGCACTTTGCACAGAGCAGGCACTTCAAAGTAACGTGAAATGGAGAGAAAGCCGTCTGAAGTTGAAACAGTGAGTTCTTTGTTTAGTTATTTATCTAAATGGCTTTTTTTAAATCTCAGATAATTGCTATGCATTATGGTTTCAGTTTTCTTCAAGAAGTCGGGTATACAGATTCGGTTTTGGCCGTTCGTCAGAGTCGAGTTCGTCAGTTGCTATGCTCTACGAATGGTGATCTAATGGAAGCAGATCATTCAAATAATAGCTTGAAAAAGAGGTATCCTATTTTTCCTCTTCATAATTAGTTTTAACATTTATTCTATGATTCTAATACTTATTAGCGCTTTTAGCTCAAATCGAAACTCTATGGTCTTGCCGGAAAATGAGGAAGCTGTTTTACGCAATTTTGATTTTTTGGAAGCTGCCTCAAAGCCTGTTGATACTGCAAATCCCACTGCAGGAGCCGACGCAGAGGCTCCTTGGAATGATGATAAACCAACTCCTGGCGTAAGTCAATGAGAGTCTTCTTCTTTTAAATGCTCTTTGGTGAAATACTGTTGATCATTGTTCATTTTAAATTTAGAAGCATAGCGTCTTTGCGTCTTCTCTATTCGAGATTAGTCTTCAAGTTACCTTTTTTCTCTTGTCTTTGATGATAGTCTCCTTGTCACTTTAATGTCATTTTCTCTTATGTAGAGTATAAAAGCTCTGAGATTTTTCCCTATTATCTACTCTAATGGGCATTGTTTTGTCCTAAAATATTGTGATTTCTTAATGTTTTAAGTTTACTCTTGCATCCAATGGTCTTGATGACAACTAATCGAAACGGAGTTTTATAGCTAATTAACTTCGGATTTAGATGTTTTCTCCTTTGCCATTTTTAATCGTTAAAGATTTGGAAGAATAGTTTTTAACATTAACTCTTCTCACCTGTGGAACTCACCTCAATGTTGCTTGAAATTCGAGTAAAGTGTAGTTTAATGGTTTTTGTGTGAGCAGTCACACATTACTAATATCAAATTTAGATGGGTATTTGTTTTGTCTTGTTGGTTTTTTGGCAATTGATTTATTCCTAAGGCTTTTATCGAATTGACATCTATAAATACTTAGCCTTCGATCATTCTTCTTTAAAGTTTGGTAACAGTGATCGGATCGATAAAGTCTAAAGTCTTCTTTATTTTACCATGGTTTGTCGTCTTTTCAGGGGCTGCCATCTATGGTTCCGGGGTTTGATTCCCGCACTGGGCAATCGAAACGATTTGGACGGAAGGCTGGTATGGACAGTCATATAATGGTAAAAATCAGAAACTTCTCTCTCTCTCCAATCTCTGACTTTTTTGGCTAATTTCGAATAATTTTTTAGGACTTTTTGAATTCCCTCTCGGACAAGGAGGCTAATAATGGCGAAGGCCTGCCGAAATTGAATGAAGCGGTTTGGCCACTCGCTAGTGGGGTCGGACGTAACACAACTGTTGACGGTGTGTCGATAGCTCCTGGTGCAACTCCCGGTATGGCGCCTTTTAGCTCGGTCGGCCAGGGTGAAGGAGAGGAGATTTCTGCTGTTGCGGGTTTAGGGGATCTTGCCGGTCTCACTGTTTCAAATGATTCGGATAATGGTGGTATGTTTGGCATTCTCATTAGAAATGTAAAGAATTTATTTAAGTAATGCCCTCGGTTATTACTTATTCTATGTTGTGATTTTTTTGTGTATTTAACTGTTTTTTTCTACGTATAGGCTTTGAGGAGGAAGCGTGCTTTACCGGTACGTTTTTATTGGTTATCTAACTATGCTGGTATACTTATACATAATGAATAATTGGGTTAGATGTGGCGCGAACGCTTGTAGCTACCAAACTGAAAATATGAAGGTAGATTGGAGTAACTTATTGGCTAAACAAGTCGGTTTGATGACAATAAAGATAACTCCTAAGCCGTCATCTTTTATACAGAGGAGTAGCTTCTCTATTTACTAGCTGTACTTATTTTGTGGCTGGACACTCCGTTTATTGACGAACACATTAATCATTGCTCCACCAGTTCACTAAAAGGATTCAGTTTCAGCATTTCGCATTGCTCTCTGCTTTGTGTTTTGTTATAGAATAAAGCGAGGGTAGAAATCTTACTACAATATGACGTTGTTTTTTGAACTTATTTTTTTCATATACAGACTTGGAGCTTGATTAAGTCTTGGCAATTTTATAAAGACATAAAGCAGATTAGGCTCACATACAAGAAAAGAGGGAATTGTGCTATCACAATGGAAGTGGAGGAGATATATTATAGTGCGAATATCTGTATTAGGTGTTTTTTGGACTGTCAGGCATCAAAGAGAGTATCTCTCCGGGTGTAGCAAAAGAAGGCTATGGGCAAAGAGCTCTCAGCGAAATTTCGTTGAGACTTGCGCACGTATTGCATATCTTAAAATTCATACCTCATGCGTCATGAGTTCTCATCTGTGTAGCTGTAGACGCTGATCATTCTGAATCCGGGGGCTTTCCTTCAAGTAGCTCGGGATTCGGTCAAAAGTCCACCACAGCGCAATCAACTACTGCTGGTGCTAGGCGTCCATGGACAAAGAAATTCGGACTGAGAGGCCACTTCGACGGTGTTCGCTCCATTGCCTTTCACCCCAGTGAACCCTATCTCTTCTCTTCGGGTGAAGACGGTCTAGTTATGCTCTGGGCACTACGAAAACCAGGATTACCTAAACCGGTAAGTGTTCATTAAGTAAATCTCTTATTTTTTGGAATTTCACTTTTTTTCACTCTAATTTCACCCTAAAATAGTCTGTTAAAACGTATACGGTGGGGAGATTCGTAAGTTGCCCCCTAGTTTGGGTCTCGCTCTTTCACCTGCTTGTAATTGACTTGTAACCTTTCTAATGGGGCGTCTCCTTTCTCTCTCTAACCCCTAGACCGTAAGTAATGTAAAGAACGGAAATCAGTTGGCTGCTGCTCTTGTAGCAAATGCTCCGCCGGATCTAGACCCAGTTCACATTTATCGTGGGCATAATGGACCTGTTCTTTCAGTGTCTGTGCCGGCTGTGGGACAATGTGGAAGTGCTGTCTACTCCTCCGGAATGGATGGTGTTATTCGGGGTTGGCGTTTACCCTCTCCTGACCCATTCACCGGTGTCTTTGACCTCTACTCCCTCACCCAGACTATTAATGAATGTGGTCCTCTGCTCAAACGTAAGCTTTCCTTTCATTATTAATTACTATTGCACCTATGATGAAGACGGGTTTTTTTTGAGTAGCAGATATTTTATTTTCGACATGTGTAGCAGGGGCGCTAGTTGAAAAGTTGAAAAAACTGCACTTGTCTTACATCCAATCGACAACCGACACTCGATATCTTGAGCATTATCTGTACCTGTTATTAGCTCATCACTTTCGAATAGCTCCAGGTTGTATTGATGTATTATATCATAAGCAAAGGGGGCCAAAAATCGCGAATCTTGTTAGTGAATAGGGAAAAATGCATGATGTAAGACAATGGGGTGTGTAAAAGTACTGTTTTTTTGCGGTTGCAAAACTGCTGATGGCGTTCTGTTGTGTGGATTGATTTCTTCAACTGAATTGTTAATCGGGTAATTGACTATCTATTTTTACATGTTTGGTGATTGAATCACGTTGAATTAGCATATGTTGTGACGATGATGATGATGATGACAGCAAGACAATGAAAGCATTTAGCTGTGTTTTCCACCCATAATTAACCACACACAATAGACTTGAATGTGAACTTTGAAAGTAAAGTACTATTTACTAAGTTCACATGGAGGATGCATTTTTACAAATGGTCCTAACATTTTCTGAGTGGTTCGTGTAACCCGCCTAGCATGAGGGATATTTGTCTATTAATTTGTCTTTTTTACAATGTGATGTTGATCATATATATAGGCGCATTAAACCTCGTCAGCGAACCCCTATCTTAGCAGGAAGCGGGATTGTTATAAGGAGATAGTTAGCGGTGTGTGTGAAATGGAGTCGACGATTCTCCTCGATGTTGTGTGTCTATCGGGTAGTCTTAACAGAATTGTTGACATACCAAAACGGAACAGGTAAATGAGTCAGCATGTGCTTTCAATAGATATAATTTTGTAGGCATTACCACACGAGAAGCATAGGTTTATTTTCCTGCTCTTCTAATACCTTTTTTATAATTTGCGTCTGTGCTATCCTTTAGCTTTTAAAGACCTTTTTACGAACTACTCATTTTACCTTCTATTGCTTATTAGTTATATGCACGCCTTCGTCGCAGCAGTTAATATGCACTTTTCCATTTTTTGAAACCGCAAATTTAGTACTTGCCAACTAACCCTTCTTATTAAAATTGGCCAATCGAGTGTCAATAGTGCAATTTCTCTTTTTGACAACTTTAGGCTCCTATTTTCCAGTCAGCATATAGGTTTCAGTAAATACACCCCATCAACTGATTGGCGGCAGCCGTTTTTCTTACTGGTTCTTTGTTGCGCGAAATATGTTATGTGCTTTTTTGCTCCTTTTTCAGGCCCAGACTCAGCAGGCGATGCAGTGTGGTCAATTTCAGTGCACCCAAGTCTCCCATTTTTGGCGTCAGTGGATACCTCCTCGGCAGTCTCCTTCTGGTCTCTTGAGTCCGACGTGCCCATTGGAGATGACACCGCAGCGGTCGCTCTTCCCATCGACCCAATCACTCCCTCTCGCACCATCTTTCTTAATGAGCTCATCTCACCGTCTGGTACGTTCTTTACTTCAAGTTGAGTTAAGTTACATGACTGTTAAGAAAATTAGCTTTGGTGTCCCTCACTTTTTCACTTAATTTTTGGCATCCGACTTTTTGAGATGACATACATGGAGGAAGTTAAGTCCTTAATGTGGCGTTTAGTTAGACGTCTGTTTTACCAAATCGATTTCCTAATACGCGAAGATTCTTTGTCTCTAATGTCCAAGGAGGGGGAGGGGGGGGTTCTGTCAAGCGGTAGGTAGTTTGGGAGACGGTATAATGGTGGTAATTTGAATCACTAACCGTTTCAATGGCGAGTAATTACATTAAGCTAGTAATAAGGCGTTGAATTGTCTATATGCAGAGCTAAAAATACTGCCTCAAGCACTCATTTAATTTTCGCAGTTGTCACAAGTAAATTTGGTGAAGATTTAGCAAAAGTAGTGTTGATCCGAATAATTCCTACAACTCTGCATGAATTCCGGGTGATTCAATTAAAAAATTATCATTGAGTCGTTTGCTAACCGTGATGATTGTCTCCATAATTTCCACTCCATCTTTCAGGACAAGTTATAAGTGAAATTAGGATTTCGAGTAGGTAAGACAAGTATCTTCCTAATTTTGAATATTGACTAGCTCTTCTTTGTTTTAGAAATTCGAAGAAAACTATCATCTTTTTCAATTTGGTTACCGGATTGTTGGTCTGGTAATCGGGGTACTTAAGAACATGTTGTAAATTTTCACGTGAAATGGAAAGTGCCTTAAACCACCTCTTAAATCTGCTTTATATCGCCTGCTTAACATGGAGAATCATAATCTAAAATTTGGCGTGATGCTTTAATTCACTATTTTAGAATTGGATAGTATTTTTTTACGAATGCCTATAATTTACGTGCTTTGATTTCGCGAGCAATTTGAGTTACCGCTTTGAAGTAATTAGCCAAATGCCAAGAAAGTAGCTTGGACTATGTTTAGACTCGCCATTTCACATTCACTTGCACGGTCTGGGTGATCCATGTGAAGCAACATTTGACCATCAAATATGTGCGCTAAAGAAACCC